AGCACAGACACCAGGTGACAGGAGGTTGGATGTCTTACACATCCAGTGGCCCAGCTTCAAGGAAAGGAGTGAAGAGAGGGCAGAAGCTGAACCTGAGTGAATTGTGCAGACAGTGGCACGGCCCCCAGCCCGCAAGCAGCCCCTCTGCACTGGGGAGGCTCCGGCGGGGCGCTCCCACAGCCCAGGGACCCATCTCCAGAGGCTCCGCACGTGCACAGCCCCACAGGAAGGCCCGGGCGCCTCCTCCCCGTGTCCCTTAAAAGCTCTTCAGTCTCCGGCAGCCCAGCTTCCGCTGTGATGTAGCAAAGGAAAAGCCGTCACAGAATTGGCTGGGTAGTTTCTTGTCGCCACCAGCACACCTACAGCCTTCCCAAATCCAGAGGCAGTCACTCAGCTGGTTCAGAGGCCGAGAAAAGGGAGTGACAAAAAGACAGCCAAGTCAGCAACTCATCTGGACACTTAACGTTTTCTCGTGCAGCCGTTTTACGTGAGGGGAAGAAAATCCTGCTTGCTTGTCGGATTTAGGAGAATTTCCCACGACTGATGGCTAGAGGCTAAGCAGGTCACTCAGATGTGGCTGAACCAGAATACTCACTGCGGGGATTCTGCTGGGAGTTGGGAAAAATATGTAAACCAAAGGTTTGTTTGGAAATAGATTGTTTTCTGTGTGTTTCAAGGGAAGCGATGCTTTGTCAAGTACCGTGGGCCTTGGATGTATTTTAGACGTTCCTTCTGTGGAAGTTCGAAATCTGTGTTCATGTTCCCGACTCAGAAAGTCTCAGGTGAGTCCACAAAAGCACAAGGGGGGTGGTATCCCGTCAGCACAGGGCACCTGGGCTCGAACTCCAACACCCTCATCTGTCCGACGGCGGGGAGATGCAGGAGGGTTGGGGGGCAGGCCTGGGGCGCTCGGGGGCCGCACTCGATGTGCTCAGCCTGGTCGCTGACCTTTCTGTCACACGTGGCCAAAGCCTGGTGCCACCAGGTGATGTGGCTCCCGGGAAGAGCCGGGCCAGAGTCGCTCTGACCCTCACCCGGCCCGTCTTCCGGGCAAGGCGGGGGGCCGTGCTGTGAGCTGGGTGAGCAGCAACGCCCGAGAAAGCTGAACTGCGAGAAACGGCATCACAGACCCTTCTGTCCATCTTCACGTGCCTGTGTCTTCGGCTTTACATTCTCTCTGGTTTCATCTCTAAGTATTCCTGTGTCTCTGTGTCTCTCTCTTGTTATTATAACTCAGAATCACAAACATTTTTCTGTTTAAGATGGCACACCAAAATAGCATCATATTCCTGTTTTTATTTTAAAAAACAGATGAGCGGAATATTGCATAATTCTTTTTAAAAAGGCAAAAAAAAAAGAATTTAAAAATTAAATTCTTCAAACTTCTGAGCTATAGAATTAGACCTAGCGCACGGCCAGCCAACATCTCATGAATGCTAGTTGCCTTGTCCTTTGAAAGACAATTCACTTGTAGCTAGAATCTCCGGGCTGTCAGGGATGGGAAAGTCGCTAGCCCGGCCGCCCTTGAATTTCCCACCAAACCGCCAACTGGGACGTCTTCCAGCCTCAGCTGGAACGGCCCTCGTGTTGGCGGAGGTTGGGGGAGAGACGTTTCGGGGGCAGCAGACGAGCAAAGATGTGGAGGGGCTGGGAGGAGGGGAGCCTGCACACTACCGGACTGGGCGGGGTCCAGGTGGGTGGCCCGGGGGGCTGCTGACCAGGGAGCCAGGCAGTAACTCCCCTCTCCCGGGTGGAGGATGGACATGAGGAGAAGCGGGGCAGGAGCAGAGCTGCTTCATGGAGGGAAGTAGAGGCAGGAAGGTGGGGTCCAGCCAGGGGTAGGGGGTAGCAGAGTGGGCCGGTACCGTCAGATCCAGAAATGAGGGGCCTCGCTGGAGGTGACGGGAGAGGATACGGCAAAAGGAGCAAATGCAGAGAGAGATGGCCCCGGGGTTTCCATCCCGAGCCCCGAGTGAGGCTAGGTGACACAGGTGGGTGCTGCGGGGAGCACGTCGGACACACGACGCTGTCGTGAGCTCCCCACTGTCCCCGGCTGGGGCGTCGACGTTGGCTTCAGGGAGCAGGGCGCGTGGAGGCCACCCTGTCAACACCCTACGCTCCATCACAGACCGTTTCTGCGCCATAAGGAGTGAACAGCCGGACAATACGGAGCAGGTTGCAGGAAGAGGCGGCGGTCCTCCCTGGTGGAGTTTGGCAAGACCAGTAAGAGTTTAAGTGAGGCCATCGCCTGAGGGTCCTGCCTGGGAAGAGATGCCGGTGGAGATCTGATGACAGGATTTCCTCTAAAAGTTAAGGAGGCAGAAGTGTGGAGGACAAAGGTGGGGACGCGCTTGCTGGGACTGGACCTGCGCATCTGGGGAGGCTCTATCTGCCCACTTGTCTCTGCAGGGTACTGGCCCCTACTTCCTGCAGGACCCCGGACAGGCGACAACCTAGGTCAGGCTCTGGGACGGCCATGCCGGTCAAGAACAGTGGCCTCTCTCTAACGCCCAGCACCAGAGTCCAGCCAGGAAGGCGCTTCCTCTTCAGAGCCCTGGCTCCGGCCCACGTATGGCAGGCCCGAGGCTCTGGTCCAAGGGCTCCAGGGCCCTGGTCCCCGCGGGGCTGAAGCGCCACCCCCAAGGCTGAAGACAGGACACCCTACGTGCCTGAGGTCCTGGCCTGTGGACCCATCGCTGACTCGGCACAGAGCCCAGCAGCCGGCCGGGCTGCAGGGCACGTGGATGGGAATGTGCCGTGTTGTGGTTGGCTTGGTGGAAGGGATGCTTTGAACTTGAGTATTTACCCTACAGGGCCGGACACCCGAGGAAGCCTCCAGGCCTGGGAGCACGCTGGATCCAGGCTGACGGTCTGCCCCCAGCACCTCATTATTTAGGGTGTCGTTGGAACACCCCCGCACCCCCTAACCTGGATCCTGTCTGAGGACAGTGGCCAAGCTTGGTTGACTGGGTGACCCAGTGTCTGTCAGCAGCTCTTGGCACAAGTAGGTGCTTAATAAATATGTGTCAGTTACTGTCTTTTCTTCTAAACATAAAACTTATAAATCGCAACAGCTCCTATTTTTAGAGCTCTTTAGGGAAAAGGCCCTCAGACATCACAGAACTAGTCTGAACACTGACTAAACAGTTAGAAAAAACTTACACCCAGAAGCAGCGTGTTAAGATTTTACAAAGGTGTGTAATTCCCAGGCTGGGGTCTGGAGCAGCCCAGGTGTGTGTCTTTGCTCTCGCTGTCCCGTGAGCAGGCATGGAGTCGCTGCCACTTACTACGAGACAGAACATTGCTGCTGCGTCTCCCAGGCCGGGGGGCGTTGGGATGGCAGCCCGGCCGCGCCTTTGGGTGGTGCCAGGCTGGTCCCCCACTGGCTCCACAAGGCTGGGACGGGGCTTGTGACCCCAGGCGTGCTTCCCTGCGAGGGGGCTGGTCTTGCCTGTGAGACCCGATGTGGCTTTGCTGAGCCCTCGAAAAGTCAGCCCACGAAGTTCCTCCTGCCATGTGTGAGGTTGGCATGCATCTCTCCCGTCTTCCGTTACCAAGACAGTCACTCGTGCAGTCGGCATTTACGTCAGACACTTTGGTCACAGACACTCCCCAGATCCCCTCCGCCTGCAGGGGAATGTGTAGTAACCACAGCCCAGACCGGCCTGGAACCTGCTAGGACACAGGAGGCTGGTGTCTCTAGTAAAGTGACAGGAGGAGAGGAGGTGCAGGTGGGTGGGAAGACGCAGACTTGGCCCGCCCCTCCTTTAGTCCTCCGTGGGCCTCCGCACCTGTAGGTCACTTGTCACCTCACGCAGTGTGAGACTGCAGGGCTGGTACCTTCCTGTGTCCCCATCTCCTGGCAGTGACTCCTGGTGACACACTGTCGGGCTGAAGGCTGCTGGGGCACCTGTGTCTGCTCCTGCTGTGCCCACAGCCTGCCCGGCCCACGTGACTGCCTGTCAACTCCTCATGGCCCTAAGTGTTCAAGGACGACGGTGTGAGGCCAAGTACAGGTGAGGATGAGGCTCCAAGGGTTCAGAAACGAGCCTCGAATCCCAGAGCAACAGCAAGTGCTCGCTGGAATCTGTGTGTCCCACCCGCGGTTCCAGGACTCGGCCGCGAGGCCGAAAGGAAGAAACGGCTCTGTGTTTCGAGGCTGGTGTCGGGGGCAGGCTCAGAGGGTGGTGGTCTCCCTGCCCTTTACGTGAGATGAATGGATGGACCCAGACAACATCATACTAAGCGAAGTAGCTCAAACAGAGAAAGACAAACGCCGCATGACGTCACTTACATGTGGAACCTAAAATATGACACAAACGCCGCATGACGTCACTTACATGTGGAACCTAAAATATGACACAAATGCCGCATGACGTCACTTACATGTGGAATCTAATATACGACACAAATGAACTTATTTACAAGACAGAAACAGACCCACAGATACAGAAAACACACTTATGCTTACCAGAGGGGAAGGTGGGGGGATAAATTAGGAGCATGGGATTGACATGTACACACTGCCATATATAAAACAGATCACCCACAAGGACCTGCTGTACAGCACAGGGAGCTCTGCCCAGTATTTTGCAATAACCTATAAGGGAAAAGAATCTGAAAAAGAATATCTATCTATCATCTCTCATCTATCTATCTACCTATTTATTATCTCTCATCTATCTATATATCACCTATCTCTCATCCATCTATCATCCATGTATCATCTATCTAGCTACCTATCTACTTATCTATCTATCCATGTATAACTAAATTACTTTGCTGTACATCTGAAACTAACATGACATTGTAAATCAACTACACTTCAATAAAATAAAAAAAAAATGAAGTGAGAGGACGTTTGCTGGCAGAGAGGGCAGACGGGCAGGAGGGGAGGACGCTGCAGCCGCGCGAGCGCAGCGGGAAATCCCGGGGGGCGGGTGCGGCCCATCCCCACCGCCACCGGCCGCCCTCCCGGCCAGAGCCCCGGCGGTACGTACAGGTGAGCACTGCGGGGCAGCGGTTCTTGGGCACGTTCTCCTCCCTCTGGGCCACGAGCGAGCTGTCGGGCTCGGCCTGGTAGGCACACAGAGCCTCCCACTCCTTCTCCAGGCGGTTCTTGTTCTTCAGGTGGTCCTCCATGTAGGCCTGGAGGGAGAACGAGAGTCAGGAGCGCCAGCCGGGAGGGCGCGGGCCCCTGGCGGTGACGGGACGCCGGGCGGCCCGTGGGGTGCAGCCCACAGTTCCCCTGCTGAAGGGGGGTAGGGCTGGCTCGGGGCCTGGTGCAGGGCCGAGGGCTAACCAGACGCAGGGGGTGCGGCAAAGGCTGCCCCGTGCTTTGGTGGTTGGTTCAAAGGTGGTCACGCTGCGTTTGCCGTGGTGCCAAGGGGGGCGGTGAGAACACCCAGTGACCGTGAAAACAGACGCACACACCGCAGACCAGGTCTGATGCGCCAGCCCAGAGGCGGGAAGTGTGTCCAGCCAGGAGCGAGGTCACGGGATGGGCGCAGTCAGGGAGGCTTATGGCGCCGCACTTTGTGGGAAGAGGTTTAACACAGCGCGGGGGAGGGGCAGGCACGCGTGCAGGTGTGTCCGGTGCGGCTGGGGACAGAGAGAGCCCAAGGGCCCTGAATGTCTGGCTGGGCATCCAGGCTCTGAGGTCAGGAGTAAGGGAGGTTTGGGAGCCGGGTCTGCCTCTGTGCTTGGAAACACGCACAGGAGGACCCTGCTCTCTGCATCAAAGAAGGAACGTGCTCAGATACACGAAGAAGCTACCACCGTGCTACACGGAGGAAGCGAGCTGGAGCTGGGTTAAAAAACAGGGCCAACAGAAACATGTTTGTCAGTAACTTCAGTCTGAGAAAGCATCTCAGTTGTCGTGCTCTGCACTGAGTCTCATTTTCTTTTTCCGCACCTCAGAGAACCACTGCTTACCAACAGATACTATGATGCACTAATTGTTTGAAATATTTTCAGTGAAAACGACGGAACACGCTGTTTGAAAACTATTGTATGTATCCAAGCAAAATCGTGTCCAAGTGGTTTCTCTTGGACAGAAACGGAAATCACACCCTCCCAAGATCCTCCAGAGCCTGGGCCAGGCGCTCAGCCAGGGGTCCCGGTGGGGACAGCCAGGAGGGGGGTGGGGACCCTGCCCGGCACCATGGCTGCCGTTTAGTCCCCAGATGAGGGCTGCCTATGCGCACAGGCCCCGGTGCAGGGAGGGAGCACAGGTGTCACCAGCGGTGACGACAATCCTGCCACTTGCCACACATTCAAGGGCAGGGAGCTCAGACGGGGCCTTCGCTAGGGCTGCCCCCGCTCCCGTTTCTGTTGGCACAGAAGTCATTTTTCTTGAAATTGGCTGGCTTTTCTGAACCCACCGGGGGTGCTGCATTTAAGACACTGGGCTGCTCTGATGTGCGCAGCGTCACATGGCTGGCAGTGTTAAAAAACAAAAACAACAAACCGAGTATTTGACCCACAGCTGCTCTGATCTTAATTTGTCAGGCACTTGTCTGTTGGCAGCGATACTAGGAGAACTGGATGGGGAAACAAAGGCCTCCAGAACGTTCCCTCCACAAAGATTCCCAAGCCAGTGCTGCCTACTCACCTTATTGATCTGTTCAGTCCAGAAATGACTGTGATTTTAAGGGAGAGCATTTCAAAGGACCAACCCGGGTGGCTTTATTGCGCCCAAAGGAAATAGTGGTCCCATCCTCTAACATCTTGCTTGTGGGTCTTCAAATATGCCCGCACAGCAAAATGAAACACACAGGCACACACGAGGCCAGGTCTCCAGCGGTCAGGCACCCCGATGTCCGACCAAAGCTTACATCCGTCCCACATCACTCCGACCCCTCCGTCAGCCCCCTCGCCCACTCACTCTAGCTGACCACCCGGCTCGGATCATCCCCCCCACTGCTCTTGGCCACCCCGGCTCATCGGCACCCACTCCAGGGGACAGAGAGGCATGAGAAAAGGAAGGACACTCCACCAGACAGTCGTGCTGGGGTCCCACACTTCTCAGGGAAATGTTGACTACAGCGACTTGAACTGTCTTGTATTATTCATTCAACAAACACCGACTCTAGTCCATGTTGGTCTGACTGGTGTGTGTATCAACGTGCGTGAGCTGAACCAGAGCTCAGAAGCCGGGTGCCTGGTGGGCGATGTTCCAGGGGAGAAGTCACCCTCAGGGCCGCCTGGCCCAGCAGCTGAGGGCCCCCCTGGCAGGTATGGCTCCGGGAGGGCCAGTGGTGGGGCCCTGGGTGACGGTCACATATCCCTCAGCCCCCTGCTCCAGCCGCTTAGGGAACCAGCAGATGGTCTTTTATGCAGAAGACCGAGAACTGTGGCCATGAGCCCCTTTTCAGGGACAGACCGTGAACCTCAGAAGCTCATCTCATCAGGAACAGAAACATCGCAGCAGTTCTAAGTGCCCGGCCGCTGCCAGCCCCTGGTGCCCACACAGCTCACAGGTTTCTTTGGATGGGGAAGAAACAAACTTAAGGGCACAATCTAGAAAATGTAAACACAGAATGCTTTCTTTTGGGACAATCATTATGGAATATCAGATACATATTTCTTGTACCAAAGTTACCCTAATAAGGATGACACTTAAGTTTGGGGAAATACCAAGTAGCTTATTATCTAGCTTAAAATATGGTGTGTGCGGGGGTCCCCAGGAAGGAGGGGTAGTTCTGGGTAAAGTGTACAGTCTCAGTGCTTCTGTGGTTACTTTCCCCAAGACTTGTTAATGTACAGTCTTACAAATGGATGTAAAACTGTTTCTGGCAAAACGATTTGGGATCCTCACTTTTCTTTGGAAAATACTCTGTTCACAAAATCCATCATGAATGAATGAGCTTCTTTCAATAAAATGTGATGGATTCTAAAATGATAAACCTTGGCAGGTTTAATCAGGTCCCAAACGTTGTCTGCAAAAGGGGCATCGGATATTATCTTAATTCCTGTAAACGGCAGCTGTGTAAATTTTCACATTTATCTTAACTATGGAAAGTGAAATCATGCTGCAAGTTCACTTGAATTTCTAAACTTACGGCAAGAAGTGTAAACTGGGACTGTAGTAAGCAAGCTTGAGTGACACAGGGAGGAAACAGTAGTTATGAACATTATTACTTTGTTTCATTGAGAATGAACTCGTCTAAAGATACACTTGATTATATTAAAACTGAGATAAAGTTTTCATCCTCTCAGCATGTATTACTACAATAGTCTGTGTTTGCCCTGCTCCAGTCATTTCAATTTGACCTATTCTTTGTTTTCCTATTAGTATTTTTACAAAACATCATTCGTATTCAATGGACATGATTCCCATCCACGTCTGAGGAGATTTTGCTCTTCATGTTTGTGGATTAGATGTTTTTCTTCTGAGACATGAGGGTATGTTTCATGTTGTCGGTCAGGAAGCTAGGCCTTGGTAGTAAACTAACGTGTTTTATACAAATACAAAACCTGCCACCATAGCTCAATACTACGAGGCCCTTTCTCTTCAAGGATGTGAGAACAGGTGTAGCGATCCTCCCCAGACACCATCACCGCCTGGAATAATTAGGTAAGTTAACATGAAATTTAAACACGATGCACATTCTTCCCCCAGACTGTAGGTGTGCTAAAAGCTGACATTTAAAATACTTGCATTTAACGTGTGTGTGTGTGTGTGTGTGTGTGTGTGTGTGTGTGGTAGGAATGGGAGGAGGGCTTAGTTTAAAAAAACAACAACTAACTTTTTATTCCATAAACAGCACATGTAGAAAATGAAGGGAAGCAGAATGAAAACAGAAACTGCTGCTAACGTCTCCACCTGGAGCTAAACAGTAAGGCCTGGGATAAACTCCACCATTTCTGGCACATGTGTGAGCTGCTTGTTTTCTGTTCTGACAACCATGGCTTAAGCTTTGGACGACATCAATATTATAGGCTTTTCTTATTTAAGTTGAAAAGATGCTGAGATGAGGGTCTTATAGACACAGAACTGCTGGTGTCCTCCTGCTGCCGTGGCCTCCTCCTCCATCCTCCCTCACATCCCCTTTCTGGTTCCTTCACAGGCTGGCATTTCTGGTCACAATACCACCTGCTTCAAAAGCCACCAATGGTGCCCAGATAGCATTGTCCTTTGTCCAGACTTCACTTTACTAACCTGCGACTCCGTCCCAATAAGAACACGTCCCACTGTTTGAAGCCTCCCCCGTCACCATCATTCTGGACGCTTTCTTCGTGCCGATTGTTCTGTCATGAATCTACCCAGAAGTCCAGGTCAGTACGGATGTGTCCTCCTCCTTCACGCCCATCACCGCCTTCTCTCATCTTGCTTTCCTACAACCCACCCCCGCCTCAGACACTAGTTTAAAAACTGCATTTCCGTGACGTGGATCCCAGTTGGCTTTGTGGGCACCAGGCCCTCCCTCCTCTCATGAGATCACTTGTTCAGGGTGGGGCCCGTGTCGCATGCACTTAGCACACAGTCAATATGTGTTGAATGGCTGATCATAGCCTGGAAAATTCTGTAAGAAATTTGTGCTCCAGATAAAAATTGTATATTGATGGCTGGTATGCCAAAAAGTTTGCCATTGAATCTTCTGAAACTTGGAAGAACTGCCCCCAAAAGTACCAAAGGACTTCGGAATGTTTCATTAAATACTTCCTGCTGCTTTCTTCCTTTCTGAGTTAGCCAACAAACAGCTTCACAATTCATGTCGACGGGTGGCTCCAAGTCCTGACGTTCCAGTGACAGCCCCAAGGTCGCGGCGGTCTCACAGATCTGGAGGAGCAGGCCCAGGTCAGAAAGCACTTCTCCCAGACTCTCCTCCTTTTCGGTCTTAACCATCGTCAGGGTACAGGTCTGGCGCTGTCTCCCTGAGACGCTTCTGTGAACTCCTGTGCCCTCAACGAGTGGCCCTCACTGGGGACGTTCCATGCACTGTCACTAGTGCATGAAGCCTGTCTTCCCCATGGGTCGTGAGCTCCTGGGGGTTAGGGACCCGTCTTACACCAACGTCATCAGCCTGCACAGAGGAAGCTCTGGGATACACAGAGCAGAGCACGACGAATCACCAGCACTGTAGCGGGGGGCCAGCCAGGTGAAGGGGATCTCCCGCCATGTCCATGCAGAAGACCTCTGTCAA